TGTAAAAAATGAAACTGACTGAAAAACAAGTGTTCCGGGCTACATTAGCTGAAATGTAGACGAGGTGCTGTGCGGTCGACCGATGCATAAAAACAATGGAATTCCGAGGAGGTAAGGCGAATTAGTTAAACCCAAAAGCCAAAGCAAAGTAACTTATCATAAATCATGATTTTAGGAGCGGAGGAGAAAAAGAAAAACAGAATTAACGTCACATACCAATCGAACACGTTGATAGCATTTCACACTGAGCATCGGACCTTGTTGTCCAACTTCAGCGAATCGTTCCTTCAAACAATGCAGCACCGGTCCGTTCTGTTCAAACGAACTTTGCAATGTGGCCTCGGCCTCCTTTATACAGTACTTTTTGATATCCGGACTAGCATACGATGGGGAAAGGGATGCCATAGAAATCAGTTAGATTTGTCCAAGGCAAAATGATTACCAGTGTTTTATTTACTGTCCCAAATGGAAATCCATTCAGGAATATGTACGGACATCAAATATTGAGAAAAATATGAAATACCTCTTTGTCTATGCAGTGACAGAATCATCACAACACCAAAGAGATCACCTGACTATTTGTGCCAGTGCATAGGAAAACATTCTACAGACGGCGGTGACGACAACCGCTGTCACTGTTTGCTTTACAGACGGTGGTGATCAAATGGTTCAGGTCATCAAAATAGCGACCTGGATGTCCTGATTACGAACGCCACCGCCACCGTCCCTCCCCCAGCCCCATCTTTGCCATTTCCGTATTTACCCAGGTAGTCTTTGTATAGTCGCGGCCTCCTTGCGGAAAATTAATCAAACATTTGTATGCTCGATAACCAAAAAAGGAAGTAAAACATTTATTTATAGACAGAATCGGTCGTCCGAATGAACGGTCTCTAAAAGCCGTGAGGAGTACGCTTTGGTGATATTGATTGAATTACGGCCTTAGCCGATCAAGAAAACTCGCAAGCTGTTTTATATGAAACTCATTCAGCACCAAACGCTGTTTCCGTTTCAGTTTCCAAAACCTTATGAAGTCGGTCTGGGTTTCTATCTTTCGCTGGTTCATTGGGTTAACCAACGAGGGAGTAGCAAATGAAAGCGTCTCAAATTAGGGACAGAATAAAAATGGCTGTCTCTGCATCAGTCAAGTGAACCGCACATCGTCGACCGTGCACGAACCGCGTACGCAGCCCGTGTGCCCCGCCGTTCTTTGGCATAATGTGTGCCTCACTCAACCAGTGAATCACGGACAATCGCGTTACGTTATTCGGGTACCTAAGATTGGCTCACTAATCGACGGGCTAATACACCTAGTCCAGTCAGTACGTTCACCTAATGCATGCAGTGGTGGGGTTTACAGTTATAGAGGTTTACTGAAAAAGCGATTACATAATAGTCACCACACGGCCATATTTGCACGATGTGTTCTTTGGTATGGATTGAGGTCTTCAACGGTAGTCAGCTACCGTCTTTGTGCCATAATACAGACAAGCGTGGTTGCTAAGACCTCGATGCAAACTGATCGCTCAATTCCACACTCCATTTGTTAAACCCGCATCGATGAGCTAGGTAATCAGTGTTCGGGGTACCGTTGCCAAGAGAAATATAGATCTCTAAGATAGGGGTCGCCATACAATGGCGTGATACCAAAAGGAAACATTTGATCACTCAACCACATCATTGCTGATTTTTTGAACGTTCATCTGGAGATTCCATTGTGTTTCCATGTGTATGATCAATGTATTTGGCTGGGTAGTTTGAATCTGATTAACTTGTGCTGGTCTCCAGGTGACATTTTCGTTTAGTTTTTTTTCAATTTCTAGCTAGGGGGAATCGGTTTTTCAGCTGGTATCAAAGTACACCACTGCTCCCCACCACAGAGGCAACCTATGCAAAAGAAACCAGAATCGCAACAGTTACAAGCGTTCCTTATCCAGGGAATACATACAACAATAAGCTATCGTTCAGGCTGAGCATCTTTTGTCAGGCTTAGCTTTTGACGGTGTTGCAATCAAACCCAATCTACTGATTGCTACTCCAGTTGTCCAACCAAATGCGCACCAGCACGTGATCTTCAATAGCACATGGTATCTGACAGAATTGGAGCAGATTTTGCACTCGACAATAATGCTTTCTAATCTATTACAAATCTGATCGAGCAGTACTGGCATTCACGTGATCGACCACAGTTGACAGAAAAGCCACTTCCGAAAGGACTGATGCGGATGATTTGAAGTTGTTACAAACTTGAGTTCTCAGAAGGAACTGGTGAGTGAGAAAAGTATTGAGAAAGATTTGATGCGCGAGTGAGTGTATTGCGTTAAAGACCGTTCAATGGATAGTGATCACAAATAAACCAGACAAATCGCTATTTAGCGTATATATTTGCATTCACACTCTTTGTATTGTGAGCTTAGCAGTGATCGGCTAATGGGTAACAATTTATTTCTCTGTGATATGACAATGACATGTCGTTCTTGTAGGATAGTTTACTGTGATCGGTACATGCATGAAAAAAAGAGATTAGATCCTGATTGACCATTATCTTTCACACTTCATCTTCAAGTATAATCTTCAGTTCAAACGGTCATCGCAAAATTCGGAAGCAATAGAGTCAGGTTTCGCACTTCTCAGGGCTTATCAGTAGCTCATATCCACAGACCCATCCGGAATCTGAACTCCGAACCCATCGCGTGGAATGGCTAACCACCGTGTCAACCAGCTCGCTGGCTCTGGTCAGCGTTACCGAATTCAGTTTGTTCAGCTGGCGTCCACAGTCAAATGTTGGCTCGACAGCTTCGGTGGGAGACAGTAACTTGGTCACAACAGCCGAAAGACTACCGTCAAATCTGGTGTTCTTTCCATGGTTAAGTAAACATATCTAAATCAAAACGTTCTTGAGGAACTGAAGTCAAAAAGGAAAAAAATAAGAAACTTATCAAACCTTTAATTATCCCAATTTCGTAAGACCCAATGCGGTATTCAATGAAACCAGTCAAATGCTTTTCACCAGCAAAATGCAAGTTTAAATTAATAAGTACACTCCTAAAAACCTTACAAAACTATTCTGCTCTTTTTAAGTTGTGATAAATTACTTAAAAAGCAGAAAACATCCAGCTTATTGGGCTATTATTTATACCCCCAGAAGGCGACAAAAGATTATTCCACAAGTACTGTACGTGATAAGACACTGGAATAGATTCTACGGATATCTCACGAGTCTCAATAATGCAACAAATCACACTGAGCACACCGGTGTTTTAGTTAGGAGATAAGGGAAGAAGGGGGGGGGTGAGGACAAAAGAAAACACGATCATCTAGTTACTTGGGTCTTTCAAAACTAGGATGAGTCACCGAAAGCAGGCAAACAGGCTCAATAGCTGATCCTTTGGACGATCAACTATTTGGCAAACTGAGAGAGAACAGCATGCGTATATACTTCGATGGACCGATGACAGCACGGAAGCATGTAGGCTGATGGAACCGTTCGTAGAAAAACATGCAAACACAAACTGGGGTGCCAAATCACGTGTGAAGCGAAAAAGAGCGACAGAGAACTAGGACCGTGAAAGTTGTAAGCAAGCGGATGCTTATGCATCCAGACGGTCAATGTTGCGAAGGCTGCTAATTGGATAACCAGTGATGTGGGCATAAAGTGGATTAAAATTTAAACACGAGAGCACTGACAGTATCTGTATGACTGAATGGAACGAATTATTTATATCCCCAGCAAATGGTTACTAACAGACCAAATTTGCAATGCTCCATAGAACGGGAAACAACAAAAATAAAAGTTCATAGAAAACGATAGCATGTGTGTGTGCTTATGGAAGTTAGGTTTTGGCAGATCCCTCCACAATTACTGGTTACTTGTGCCGCTAACTTAGAGAGGTTGTGAGTGAATGAAACAAAGATCTTAAGATTTATTGAAAATGAGCACACCAACTAGTAGAACGGAAAAAAGAAGCAAGCATAGAAATAATTCGGAACTGCATCTGCTCATTTGGAAAAAACAGTATTACTTTATCTTTTCACACTGCTGCATAAATTTAATTAGCAAATTTCATTTCATTGATTCTGTCTATTATTACTATTAGAAGTCGTGGAAGATCAAGCTGAAATTCGACAAAAGGAATTTGAATAAGCCCTAGATACGAGAATATTATATTACGTGTGTGTGATATTAGCAATGGGATGTACGAACACCACTGAACTGTTGCATTCCGTTAAAAATGAACGGGTCCCTTGAACTTAAATTGAAAAGCTTGAAGCGATCTGTTCCGTTCGATTCATCGGTCAAAATTTCCATACCTTTTTCTTAGATTATGGACTAACTGCCTTTACATCTTTCCCATCACGACGAGACTGCACCTTGACGTGATGTGATGGCTTGAGCACCTCTATGACCCAAACACCTCTCCAGGATAGCTTTTGTCTAACCAGGAGATCTTATCATGCTTGGAAGGTCAGTGGGTAGAGGTCAGATGAAGTTTAGTCTCTTGGTTCTCCAGGTTGGGATTTTGACTGGAA